GCTGAAATTAATAAAAAATTGTCACTCACAGATTGGAAATACTCATTTTCTTGCTCCCCTTCATAGTACAGGGTGAGATTTAATTTACAGAACTATCAGATTATTTTTCTCTTCTTTGCCATTTTTCTCTTATTGCAGACTCATGGTATCTCAAGTTGTTTTGATCAAGAGGTCAAGAGACCTCTTTGATCTCTCAAGCTGTTTTCCATAGCATGTTAGCAATTTTAAGCTTCTGTACCAAAAAGCTTATTATATTCTTATGGATTCTTCTTGAATTCCTGTCTTTCTCTGATACATACCTGTCTATTCAGCTGCACATTTTCCAGAAGTGTCCTACAAAACAATTTTCATGTCCCTCTGACATCCAAAGCTGAAGGATGAGGACAGGGATCCTTCTTAGACATCATTCAGAGTACTGCTCATGGCTTCTTGGACTTCTCTTTTAAGATGCTATTATATAAATGGGACCTGCTGGTTACAATGTTACTTCCCTCCCAATGTTTATAAAATATTCCTAAATCATTTACAGATCATTTAAGTTATTGCCCATCAAAAATGCTGTCTATACAGTGCTTGATCAAAATCCACTAGAATTTCTCCTGTTAGCCTCAATGGGATTAGATGAGCACTGTATGGAGCAACTTGCATCCTCTCTTGTCTCTGACTTGTAATCAAGATCCCTTGTCTCCTGCAGCAGCCGTTCTCAGAATGAAGCTTTTAGGTCTTAAATTACCACTCTGTTTCCCATCACGAAGCAAATGAAGGCTACCAGGACAGAAGTCTAGGTAGCTAATATAGAGGTGAGCTCTTTTTACCATTCACCTGCAGCCTCCAGACCTCTCCATGGCAACCTGGAGTTCCTAATCATTGGCGGGTGGCTGCAAAAGCCTTGTTAGACAGACAGTGCTAATTCCCAGTGTTGCCAGGATGAGATGCGCACATGGGAATTCATCACTTTCCCACGTGATGACCAACACTGGCTCAGCAAAGGTTGTTYCGCTGATTCTGCTAATGCAGGCTGTCCGAATGAAATCCACTTTCTTCTTCAGCAGCTTCTGCTGCTGTCTTGACCAAAGGAGAGACAAATCTAAACAGAAAATAGGCTGATCCTGATGGAGATTTTCCAGCTAATGACAATCCAAGGACACAAATGGACTATTGATCCGTTGAGTTGTTTGCGCTTCTCTTCTCAGGTCCAGATATTTTTATGTCCTGCATATGGGGGCCAGTGATTGCCAGTGCCTCCCCACCCACTATCCAGCCCCCGTGGCTTTGCCTTGTCCCGTTGGTTGTGCACGAGCTGACCTCAGTAGGGAGCTGGCTGTCTTAAAGATGGCAGCTCATCCATCACTGCTTTCACAGACTGTCAGCATTGCAGTTAATCTCACTTGTAATTTTCCAAGGGAGGTTTGCAAAAGCCACAAACAGAATCTTAATGCTGTAAAATGCTGCTTGCAGCCAGTGAATACTTCCTGTCTTTGTGAAGTTTTGCTTCATTGCAAAGCTGCATTCCATCTGCCCTGAGCTATCCAGAGAGGAAGAAAATCCCAGATTCAGCCTACGTTCCTGTGTGCTATCCACGCTTCAAGTGCTCTAGCTGGTGTACACTCCCTCTCAATTCACACACACCAAGCTGGATATCCAGTTTGCAAGAAGCAGAGATTTTACAAGCAAGATGTGAGAAGACTGTTCCCCCAGGGCTTGCACATGCTGCTCATGAGGCTCCCCTGCCCATTTCACTGACTTGTCCTTCAGTAGATCTTGTTTTTCAGTTACAAGGCCTTCCTCACGCTCTGCTTCCATAGGACCTGACCCAAAACCCCATAGACTTTGTAGTTTTCAAATAAAAGTTGGATCAGATACAAAAACCTTGTGCTCTCCTCTTACTCTTCATCTTTCATCATCTTGACTACCCCAGGCTTCCTCTATCATTCTATTCTTAAAGTTTACCAGTGAAAGAATGAGCTAAATTGGAATCAGTATGACCAGAATTATATGCAGGAATCCAATGCCAGATTCAATCACTCTGCAGATGAGATATAAAGCTATACTTCCAATATATATATTCAATAGAATGACCTCACTCCCTGACCTATCTGTCCRTGTCATGCTGACAGATCATATCTTGCTGTGGAAGATGCAGTTTGTCAACAAGTCCCTGAACTGTGCTGACCCAGGCTGGGTTTCTGTGATACAGTTTTTCTTCTGGCAGTAAGATTTGAACAACGTAAATTCCTCAAATTATGTGGGACATCAGTGACCCCATCAAGGGCTTTATCCTATGTTTCTAATTCCATAAGCATCTAGCCTCTTGCCTCTTGACCAAACGGCAAACTGAAAGCAAAATGTATATTTTTCCTCTAGACAGGTCTCTGTACTAACAGTTTCTTCAGCAAACAGATAAAATTATTATGCCTGTATTTTCAGCGGTTCTGGAAGCACTAGCTATAGTTATGGCAGCATTACACTTCAAAAAACCTGTTTTCGAACCTGAAGCTAAAAAAAAAGACCTGAATTTATTTGTGACAGGTGTCATCTTCATGCTGAATTACTTTGCTTTGTGAATTAACTATTTCTATTAATGACTTTAATGTTGTTTCCATAGTGTGGCAGGAAACTCTGGAATTACCTTTGTAGAAAGCCAGTCAGTTTTAGCCAAGTTACAAGCCTTTGACACCAGCCATATAGAAGTGGGAAGCAGATTTTTCTGCAGTACTTATTTCCCCTGAGAATACTCCAGTTCTTACAGCTTTTAGTAGCTGTCTTTCATTATGTAGCTTAGCGTGTTTTTCCTGCAGTTCTTCTTCCTTGCAGGTGAGAGAAAACATCATTTTGATCCTTGAAAAGACAAGAAAGAGGAATAGGTGGGCGAAGTTTGGAAAGCCATGGGAGTGGCAAAGGGAATGTCAATTTTTGGTATTTGAGTAGTGCTGTGCTGACACTGATTATAGTTACAACCGTACTATCCTTTTAATTTAAAAATGTTTCCATTTATCTAGATTTTTTTCTTTTAGGTAATGAATGTATAAAAGCTCACTGAAGCTGCAGCTCTGCATAATGCTTTGCTCAGAACTGTGGCATCTTTAACAAAATGAAATAGAACAACAAAAAAAAATCCTCCTTCAGCTAAAATAAGGTATAGCAACAGGAAAAAAAAATGATTAAAAAGTCCAAGATAGACTAAAATAGTCTTCTATCCAGGCAATCAATTTCTCAATGGTGCCCAATAGACATATTGAATCACACATTTTGCTTACACAGCTGCCCAGAGAAAAACAAGGACCATATTGCTACCCATCTCCTTTTGCTAAAGGTTGGCAATTATAGCAGCTGGAAAACAATAACAATCTTTCATTGTGTCAGTGAGTATTATTCAGGTTGGCATACAACCTCCGTGCTTACCCTTAGAATCTTCTTAATTCAATTAAGATTAAAGCTATAACATAGGGAAATTAGACTACAAATGTCGCACTGAATTGGTGCCTCAGTGCAAAGGTGCTGGGGTGAAGTTCTGTGYTCTGTGCAATGTAGGGACATAGCAGGTATGGACATACTTCCAGGCTGGAACAGAAATGATGTTCTGTTTCAGCCAAAATCCTGTTTTCCCTGTGTCTGGCTTTACAGGTAGACGTAAAAAATATAATAATGTGAGGTCACAATCTGATCATAACAGACATTTTCTTCCTCATGGTAGATGTGACTGAGTTTGTTTATAACTTGAAACATTCAAGTTTATATTTCTAATAAAATKAAATGGCACACTGGCTGCATGAAGTCAGGAATAAGAGCCAGATGGGTTTTCCAGTAGGCAGTATCAATTGAGACTTCTCACAGCCTAGAATTTAGGTTGTTCCTGACAGGGACCTCACACAGATTTTTAATCTTTTTTTCCCTATGGYTTGAATGTTACTTGAATAATCATGAATTTCAAGTAATATTAAAGACAAACTTGAATTTGAATACACATCTCATACTTCATCTGTAGAGTTTGATTTTCAAATATGGAGAAGAGTATTCTACCTGGGAAGCTAGCCTGAAATTTCAAGGCTCACAGAGTTCACTCATTGTTTTGCTGTAGACTGGCTACATGAGTATCTGAAGTGCAAAARTCCCTGAAGTGGGAGGCTTAGGATAACCATCTATCTCAATTTAAGCTAAAGAGTAGTCGGGATCCTTAGCATCCTCCTTACGATAAGCAGACTGAATGATCAACTGCCAAGAGTTAGCAAATGAGGAAGTTTAGGAATAACATACCTGTTTCAAAATTTAGGCAAATTAAATTGAGAGCTGCCTCAGTTCCCTGTAGATTCATAGTAATTTCTTCCCATAAATTTCCACAAAAAACAAGGAAGCATTTCCTGGACGTTCTCCAGTTAATGTAGTTCACTAGGCCATTTAAGAAAGATGAGCTGAAAAACAAATAGATTTTGGATCTTTGTGCAGCTCAGGCATGAAGTAAGTGAAAGGATTATAGGCCTGTCAAGATGAAAACTCTTCAAAGACTACTCAGAAATTCATGTACCTGAAAAAATCTTAAAGGTATGAAAGGTGCTTTGTTTGAGGAGTCAAATTGCTTACAGGATTAGGTGAATGATAAATAGGACTTTTCCAGGTTTGTAATTCTGCTCAAGCCTTTTTGGCCATCTGTTCCAATCTATACAATAAAGGTATTAATATTTCCRACCCTCATAAAATTAATGCACTAAAAAAAATAAATGCTTGGAGAAATCAAATTTGGAGAGATACAGCTGAATTCCTGAGTACTGTGTCAGTACAGTCCATTCAGACATCTCATGGAWTCAGACTGATCTTTTTGCTCATGAATTTTGTCTGTGTGCTATTGTTAGGATATTGTTAGGATATGCCTGTTAAAGTAAAGGTTGGTGGCATGCCCTAGAGTGTCACTCTAGTGATATCCAAAAAGTCAGACGACACATGCTGTAATGGTGTCCTGTTGGTTCATGCATTAGCTGATATTTATGGACATTTTTTTCTTGTAGGTCTCAACTGAAGAAGGAATGAGCTTAGCCAGAGAATACTCCTGCTCCTTTTTTGAGACTTCAGCTGCCCTCCGTTTCTACATTGATGATGTCTTTCATGGACTAGTCAGGGAAATCCGAAGGAAAGAGTCCTCACTGCCCATGGCAGAGAAGAAGATGAAGAGGAAGGATAGTCTTTGGCGGAAACTGAAAGGGTCGCTGAAGAAGAAAAGGGAGAGTACAACTTGATGGTATTTTCCTGTGAGCTTACCCTCAGGAGCTGACCACAGTAACCTGCAACAGTTCAAAAAGGCAGCATTGACACAGCATCTTCCAGACCAGGTCCTGGAGTTCTTTTCCATCAGCCCTCATGCAGAAATAGCTCCCTGAAGGCCCATTTCACGGTTGCCCTGTCGCTCCTCTGTATTATAAAGTCACTTAGCATACCTTCTCATCCCTTTTCTCCAAATATGAGTGGAGAAAATATTTTTTCATTGTAGTCCTTGGCTGGTCTTCAAATGCTAGGAGTTAAGCTAGCACCCAGGGCAGAACCAGCTTGCACCAGCTCTAGAACAAAGGATGCTCTCATTGCCTCCTCTCTCTCATGCATGAATTATTTCAGCATCCCAGGAATGAGCACTATTGATTTTCACTGGAAATGTTGGCAGTTTGAGGACTTTAGAATTTGACTTTCAGCTTTGCATTCATTTGTAGATTTAGAGTTAGACTGTGCTCAGCTGTGTATATATGTATCTGTGTGTGTACATGCGTGTGTGAGAACTGGGCTCAGAGGGAACACCAGGGGCTCCCAACGTTGATCCTGTAGAGGCTCATCCTCATTGTGTGCTTTCCGTTAGCATGAAGGCTTGGCAAGGATAGCACAAGCCAAGTGTCGCTAGCTCTTCGGAAGGGTGCAGGGCTATGGCTCTGCCTCCTTGGCTTATTACTTATCAGAACTGGCCAGCTACACGGGTGCATTAACCTATGGACATGCAGTGCACTGGCCACRTTCCCACGGCCCTCTAAGGAGTGCACAAAGGGATGGTCCATCTGATACCTTCTAGAACCCACCCTASAGCAGCGCAGCTCTGTCCCACCATGTTGTAACATCTATGATGTAGCAGCCAGACCTACTTACTGCAGAATTGCATCAGGCCAGAAACCATTCCTTTGTAGTCCTTGACCATCCAAGTGAGTCATTTTCTCAATCAGTTGGACAGGTCTTTTAAATATTCCTTTTTAAAGCTGGCTTGAAGTAGAATATGGCCTCATTGACTTTTTTTTTTTACAGATTTCTCCTTTTAATATTGACTTTATTTATAAAGTTTACAATTAAAACATGTACACATTGTGGTGAAGAATAAAGATCATGACTTCCATGAAACTTGACTAGCAATTAGTGTCATTTGTGTTTCTCCTGAGGTTATAACTGGTTTTATTAGAGAAATATGTATATTCCCTACAAAATTTTCTTTCTTCTCTTTTCTCACTTTTCTTCTAGTTATACTGTAGGATTTGGACCTGTGACTTGTATTTTGGAGGGTTGGGGTGGGAGGCAGCCACTATGTCTTTTTTTTTTTTTTGCAAGTATAAAAAGGTAAAATTTTGTGAAGAATTCCAATTCATTACAGTCTGGTATTTTGTTCTTCATTTACCCGCCTTCCACTCAATAAAATCTGAAATCTTTTGAATTGTCAAAAATAGAATTGTCAAAAAGCTTCTACTTTATAGGTTATTTCTCAGGAATACAAACACAAATAAGAATTTATGGTGAATTTTTGTTTCCTGCCTCCAACACCTGATGACTACTTATACTATTATAATTATTATATTACCTGTTTTGCCACATAAATTTTAGGTCAAGTTTCCTACAGTCAAAGAGATGTGCTTGCCAAAATAGTTTATATGGTATGTATCAGTGCAGAGACAACAGGGGCTGCACTGAACAGACAGCAGCTATGAGACAACAAATAATGAGATATATCTGTGACTATCCCAATACAGCACATCGAATAGAGGAGGATGTGGATGTCAGTCCATGCATATGAAACCATAAAAATAAGTGCCTGGAGAAGCTTGCAGAAAAAATTGCAAAAAGGAGTGTAGATACAGTCTAAGATTATGTCTGACATAAATTAATAAATTAAAGACACCTCACCACAGAGAAACTWCTTGTTGGAATTGGTCCTCTGCCAAATTCTGCACCTTGCTCAGTAACTCTTTAGGAATGTGCTGGCTGTTATAGTCTAAAATCATGCTAAGGATCGTCCTAGCAATTCACAGTACAGATGTTGAAGTTCCTGTGCTTATGTGTGTGTACATATGTGGTATGTTTAAAATAGCAGTTAAACTTTCAGGTGTACTTACCCTACTAAATCTCCAGGTTCTGACTCTCTCCACAGCTAGTCCAAACAAGCCACATATTTAGCAGTAGATGAGGCACTTAAAAAATAAATGAGGCATCAGACTTTCTGAGGCACCCATATATCACTGAGCTGCAAATGGTATTTTCAGGCATCTGAATAGGGATCGAGCARAAGGACCTGGATTTATCTCACTCCATTGCARTCATATGAAACTTAATATGACATCTAGCCATTAAGAGTCTCTCTCTGGTCAGTAGGAAGAAAGTGGTTTGGTGYTTTGTCCCATCCAGACTGGGTACTRTCKTATGAGATGAATTACCCTCTGAAATGGCTGTCTCTTCAATGMCTGTATATTGCTAATTAATGAGCATCTTGGTTTTCGGGCCTAATTTTTTGATAGCTAAGTTGAGGTGTGATAAATCTAATCGTTAATGATTTGTCTACCTCATATCTGTGGCAGAGTAGAGAAAGATGCTATAGATTGCTTGGCACTGAATCTTGTCTCTAAAACACCTACCATCCTTTATTTTTAAAAYGGCAATGTCATTCTGATTTACCATCACGCAATTCCTCAATAATCTATAATACTTAACCTCAGTTAATTGAGCAGAGCTTATGGAGGTTATAGTCAGTGAGGAAAACATAAGTCATACCTGAAAAAGAGGCTCGGTGCAGCTGCTTTAGCTAATTAATCATTATGACTCCATCACAGGAGAAGGTTGTGTTTAACTGTCAAGTCTAGCTGACAGAATTAAAAATCAGCAGCTCTGTGTCTCAAGTCTTTTCCTTCTCTTGACTAGTCCCCCGTCTCTCCTAATCATGTCTGGAAAATTTCAGGATGGAAGCAGATCGTTTTACTTTGCTCTATTGCCTACAATACCATGAAGGTGGCAGCCATAACTTAYTCCACGGTCAGACTGTGCTGCAGCTGAGCTATAATTCAGCTTCTTCTGTGAGTATAATTAAAGCCAACTAATAAATAAAATAAAATAATACCTCTTTATAAATATATCCATGGTGTCTTTTGCAAATACATAATATATRGCAGTTAATTACCCTTCTCAGTTTTGGCAGCTTGCACGCTGTATCTGGCTGTGAAGTAATTGGGGAAAGCTGTAAATCAGAGTGGAATATTCAGATTTAACTTTTTTTTCACATGCTCTACATATAGGCCTTATACCTTAAGCACAGATGCCTTCTGTGTCCCCTCACACTGTCAGTTCATGAACTATGATCTGTAACAGACTTATCTCTTTATAAATGATTGTAAAACATTTATTGACATGAAAAAAGATGAATTTGGAGACTAGATTGTAAGAATATGTAGYTACAAGTCAGTGAATATGCCTGATGTTTGTCACGTGTTTCTATATAGGTCTCATTCTGATCCTCTCTTAGAAGTTTCACCCTTTCTCAGTTCATGTCAGACAGAACATAGGCAAGAACCAAACGATGGCCTTCTACAGAATTTAGTGTCCCATAGTGGTGGATAATACTCCATTACTCTGCCAACACCATCCTCCAGTTTGAAAATAAAGAACTTTACCTTATCTGTGAACCAGGCTATGATATCGTTATAAGCAAATTAGCTATCGGGGGGATGTCTTCACTCAGAGACAGCAAAGAAAGCTACCTGCTGCAACCATCTCAATGGGTCATACTAAGAGGATGGCACCAAACTAAAATTTATCGATTAATTTTATATAAGTCATTCAAAATTTACAGTCTGACATAAGAATTCAGCATTTTTTTTGCCCGAATTTGTACTTAGTAGTTGAAAGATGGATATCTGTCAAAGGCAATTATGCTGATATGCAATCAAATACAGCCATATTTAGACATTCCCCTAAGGAACTCTTATTTGTATATGATTATGCATCATCCACAATGCTCATTGGTCTGTGAAACACCTCTAAAAATTAGCACAGGAAAAGTAAAATTGCAGAATGGGGCTTTAGTTCAACGTTAACATTTCTGTTGTCATAAAGGTGGAATACATTTGAGCAGAGCAGAATCTTAGACAGGTTYTCATCAATCTGTCATTAAGCTCTATCGTGTTCTGTCCCTTCAGATGGGGAACTTCTTAGGATGTCTGCTTGGTAAAATGATTTGTAACGGGGATGGCACTGTCTCACAGATGCTGTGAAAGTCACCCCAAGAGGCATTGCCCTGAACCTCTAGGCTGATTTATAACTCCCTGATGCTCCTAGTCCTAAGCCTCCTCAATTTGAGCTCTCCAATTTTGTTACATCGYGCTGAATTATGAGGTTGTTTGGTGATGAGGACAAATGTCCACTCGAGAGCACCAAACTCATTTCATGATGTGAACTTTTCCCCCAAGAGGTAATAAAGACAAGAACATCCAAAGCCATTGCATCACCTACTGTATATCTTCTGTCAATAGATAATTAATGTGACAATGAGATTTTCCCATTCTAGCACTTTGTCATGCATCATATTTTTCACAGTGTTTTAGCCTTACAACTGTTTCAACAACTGCATGACCAAGCTCAAAAGAAGCATTATTTTCCATGGCTGCAGTTGGACCAATGTTCAAGTAGCTAAAAATACTAGAAGGGTATATTTTTTCTTTTTTATTCTTTTGTATTAATAATCAATTTGCTACATTAACTAATTTTGCGTAAATAAAACAATATTAGTTAACCCAAATAAAACAATATTGCTTTACCCATTTAAATTATCATTAATAGTGGATAAAGGCACTCCATTTCAGGGCTACTGAATTCAGTGAATAAAAATCTTACATTTCTCTGCTTTCACTGCATTCTGCAAAGAATATAATTTGGATTCCTTATCCTGAAAAAACAAATAATAACAAGCATGGAGATGGTAGGCAGTGACTACTAGATTCAAGATTTGTTTTTTAAATTATGAGTTAAGATTCTTGGACAGCCTTTCAGTGTTTCTTCCATTAGTTTCCATTAGTTTCTCTGCAACTCCTCCTTCCATCTAAATAAGTTCATCCTTTTCCCTTTAATTTCATTTGTTCTACTGCATAACTCATAGCAGCGTAAATGATGGTCTCAGGTGCTTCTTCCATATTAAAAACACTGCGTCTTTTGCYTCTCTCATCAACTTCACATTAATTTAATGTACTTACTAAGCAGAATGAGTAATATCTTTTATGATAAAAGTTTTGTGAAGTCACTCAGCATTCTGCATAAGAAGCTGAGGGTTCCTGTCTTTGCCTTCAATTCTAGGCACTGCTGACAGATGCCTTTTTGTCTAGGACATTGAATGMGTAAGCTTGAACACTTCAGGTACTTAGGCAGTGTAAGTGGGCAGCTCTGTTGAAGGCAATGGAAAATATTACAATTGATTTACATCCCTTTCTAGAAAAGAATTAGATATTCACTCTCATGATGATGAATATCCTTCAGTTATATAGCAGAATCTGAGGTTTCTGTCCCTAAAAACTTACAGAAGCCATAGCYGAAAGCACAAGACAATTTAAGGAAGATGGAACAAATAGGATGTTAATGATAAGAAAGACAGGCAGAGGCAGTACAGAAGAATCAAAGATGACTAAATATATGAAAATTAAGTGAACTGGGCTTACATCATTCTTCTCTCTGTATGCATCTTAATACCTTCTAGAAAGAAAAGAGCRGATATAATGATGGAAGACTCAAGTTCAAGAAGTTTGCTTCATTTGCACACATTATAA